TTTAAAAGCAAGCTTTTCTTTGTAAAAACTTCAATTGAATTTCAATAAAGTTAAAGGCATGGCCTCACCATTAATATGTAAAAAAAAAAAATTCTATTATGTTTTTGTTGTTTGAAAATTTGATTTGAATTAAAGCAACAGTTAAATAAAGCTGTAATAGCTTTAATGTATGTAATACCTACATGTTTAAACATTTTCTAACTTATATCTATAGGTCTATAGCCTTTTCTATTGAGAAGTTTTAACAAAGTTTAGAGAACTTCTTCTTTTGTTATAAAAGAGTTAAGAGAATTATATTATTAGGTACTAATATGATTGTAGTTGATAATGTATATGCCAGAAGCTGTTAAACAGTATTTATTAATTAGTCATATATTGTTCAGTTATTAAAGTGAGATTGTATATACTGTTTTATAAGTTTAGAGTTTATAATAAGTTGTTTAGAGAGTTTGATATTGAAAAAATAAATAGAAACTTTGTATTGATTAAGAATACTGTTAATAGCTTGTTTAAAATGTGTTGAAAGTGTTTAATATCATTTTTCAGTTGCTTATTGAATTTGTTGATAAAATAGTAATGAGTTTTCTATATGATAAGTATAATAAAATCATTTTCAAATATCTTATGCATATTGAATTTATGTATAAATTTGAGAATGATCATCTGAATCAAAAGTTTGAAGGTTATAATAGTATTTATTATTAATAGTCTTAATTCTAGAGTTTATCATAATTATATTAAAAGTTATTGTAAGTGTTTTTAATAATTTTTATTAAATGTCCAAGTTCTTTAAATAATGTGTATATTATATAGTTCTTAGTTAGAAATAGATTAACAAAAGATTGAAATTATATATATAAACAATTATCTTTAGATGCTATAGATTTTAATAAATAACAGTAATTAGATAAGCATTAACCAGATCCAAGCTAAAACAAAAATAACTATATCAATCTATCTCTACCTACTTACTAATGATACATACTATAAACTAAATATAGACAGTTTAAATAAAAAAATATCAGTGCCATATTGGCATTTTTTTAGACCTAATATTAGACTATTATTAGTTAAAATTTGGCTAGAATCAGGAATATATAGGATAAAAATTGATATCATATTAGCTTTAAGCAATATCAATAAGCTAATAGTTTTATAAATAAATTAATAGTGCTATTGATTAATTGATTAATAGCTATTAATTAATTGATCAATAATACTATTGATTTATTTATAGAGCTATCAGATTAATGATATTGCTTAAAGCTAATATGACACTAATTTTTATCCTATAGGTTCCTAATTTTAGTCAAATTTCAACTAATATTGATCTAATATCAGGTCTAAAAAAATGCCAATATGATACTAATATTTCTTTGTTTAATTTGTGTATAAACTGCAATAAAATTATTAGTGTTTTTAAACTAAATATAAAGATAATAAAACTTACTTAATATAATATAAACTTTAAATATAATATAATTATTAACTAGGTGAGGCTTTGACCCTCTTAGCAAAATTTGAATTATGAATAAAGTAACCTACATCTTTATTTTTATAAATAGTTTATGTAAAATATTTGTAAAATGTTGTTTTTATATAACAATAAATTAATAAAAAAAACTGATCTAGGATTTTACTTTTAAAAGTCAAAAAAAATTACAAAACTTATTTCATGTTTTTAAACTTTTTTTATTTTTTTAATTTTTTTTTGTTTTTATATTTTTTTTTGTTTGATATACAAAATATTTAGCATAGATGTTCTATTGATAATATGTATATAATATGAGTCACCTATACTAAACATGATCAAAATATTGAAATGTTAAATATATTTATTTAAAAGAAATAATAAATGTTTTTAAGATAAATATTGTTATATTGTTAAGTGTTTTTTTATTTATAGTTAGATCTCTTTAAATGCACACTTTATAATAAAAAATTTTTACAGTGTATTTTGCTTCTCAGTCTCAAAATGTATAGTGTTTATATGATGTTGTAACTAGATACTTTTATATGTTACAAAATTATTCGGTGAGTTAATAATCATTAATTGAATGATTAGTCTGATATTTACAGCGCCCTCTAAGTGTACAATAAGTTGCAATAATAATTTTTTCAAAAACATAAGAAATACTATGGTGCGATAATCTCTGTGCTTAATTTCCATATACCATGAATTTATAAACTATCTTGGCCAAAAAATTGTGTATAAATATTCTCTACACATGATTCACTATTATAATCGATAACAATGAAGATGTTATCCTCCAAATGCACACACTTTAAATACACACTTATGATAAGTTCAAGAATGACACACTAAAGAGATCTAATTATATTATCCATTGACAATCTAATCTCCACAATAGATTTTAACACTCTGGATTTTTTTTATTATACTCTTCCCAGAATCTTTTTAAATAATTTCTAAACTCATTAGTTCCTTTAAGATCATTTTGATTAAAAATTTTATTAAATGAATTTTCTAATTCATTAAACCATTCGACTTTATATGCTTCAATTTTCTCTGCTCTATTTTCAAACAATGATTCATCTTGAAACTGATAAATCTTATTTTTTTCAATTGTATAAACCGGTATTTTAACATTAGTATCCAAGTTATCAGTAGACGGCAATGTATATAAAGTCTGAATATCAAATAAAATTGCTAGATAATATTCAAATAATGTTTTAAGTATATCATCATGAGTTGCTTTAGAAATAATCTGAAGGTGTGAAGGTTTAAAAAAATTTCTGGCATTACAATAAATTTTAAAAATTTCACATTCATTTTTAAATTTATCTTGCATTAATCCAGTTTGAGTTTGATTTTGTTTATAATAATTATCTATGCTTATTCTAGTAATTAAGATAATTTCAAAACATCTTTCAGTAATTTTAGCATTTTCACCAAATTTTTTTAAACACCAATTATAGTACATTGTTGAGGATTCCAATGGCTTGAATGAATTATCATTACCATCGAGTATTCTATTATTTGTCATATCTTTAAGAATATCCATTGCATTTGAAAATAATTTCTCCTTATCATCATCAATTTCTTGATATAAAAATTCAAAAACCTCAATTCCTTTTAATTTTCTATTTGGTTTTAATGCTTCAATTACACATTGAAATAAAAGGTTTTCTTTTGTATCATTTTTAGCTTCCACAAATGCTTCAATTAATGTATTTCCAATAATAGCCAATCTTTTCTCAAAAAGTTGCATGATATCTCCTATAATAGTATAACTTAATTCAAATCCAATTTTTATTAACTCTTTAATACGATCAGTAACATTCTCAGTAGTTGGTTTAATCCAGTCATCTGGTGGAGTTGGTGGGTACAGAATCAAAACGGCGCCTTGCATTACTAAATCGTTGACATCTTTACAGATCCCATGATAGCCAACCTTTTTCCAATATAAAACCAATTCATTACAAATTAAAATTGCTCTAGCTATAATATTAAGCTGCCTATTATTTTCAAATCCATCTTTAGCTGGATATTCCTCTATGGTTGTATTATTTGGCGGTTGTAGATGTTTTGGTCGAGGTGGAAATGGAAAGAACTTTTTTTTCAAGATTAAATCTCCAATTTGCTCTTTATTTTTATCTAAGATAGCTCTAGCGTCATTAATTATATGTGGACCTGCAGACAAAAAGTGGAACAATTCCATATCATTTCCTTTTTTAGAGAGTTCAATTCCTTCTAATTGGAATTGTCTATCTGTCTCTTGTAAAAGGTAAATAAAAACTGAAATATCTAAATCACTTGCCCATGGTATTTTTGAATTTTGTTGTTGAATAATTTGTACATTTGTCATATTTTGATTATTTATATTGTGATCCATCTTCAATGTTTCAAGTTGTTGATCAGCTTTCCCAAAATGTAATAATAACCTTTGAATAAAATAACTAGAGATAATTGCACCATTGGTAACTATTGCTTTAGCAACATATAAGTTAATAAAATTTGGACCAAATCTAATAGCATAGAAGAGTGCATGAGCGCGACCATATTGATAAACGATCCACTCAGCTCTAACCATATGATCACCGGAGATATTATACCAACTTTTACAAGTTAGAATAAGGTTTAAAGGAAATCTTATAAATTTAAAAATATTTATTAAAATTTCATCCGACAAACCAAGTTGCATAAAATTAATAATTGGTCTATCAATATTTCCTGTTTGTTTTTTATATTCACATATTTTTTCTTTTTCTAAACGTGCATATTCATTGTTTGGATCAATTCTAAGTGCTTCATTTATATCATGCAATGCATTATCATAATTTTTGTAAGCTATATATACACTACTTCTATAAATATAAGCAAGACATTTTGATGGTTTCAATCTAATTGCTATTGTCAAGTCATTTGTAGCTTCTAAATGTCTATTAAGATTAATGAATGCAGCAGCTCTTCTACATTGAATCGAATAACTTTTAGAGTAAAAATGTAAAACTCGAGTAAGCCACATAATTGCTATAGAATATTCCTGTTTTTTTTCTGCTATTCCAGCTTTTTCAAATGCAAATAACATTGCTTTGGAATGAGTTTTTTGAGTCAGTTTCAGAGAATTAGTTCCTTCAGAATAAATATATCCAGCTTGCGATAAAAATTCACAAAGACCTTCGAGTATTGCATTTCGAGAAAGGTAGTACATAGGTTCTGATTCAATATTAACTTTACAAAATGGACATTTATTCTTGAATCTATGGCTAATAGAATGACCACATATTAAAACAAAAAAGTCGCCAACCAAATTTTTTGTAATTGGACATGATATTCTATCAAAAATTATTTCTATTAATAACCCAATTCCTTCCTCTGCTGTAAGTTTTTGATCAAAATTTTTTTCAATCTTTGTTAAATCTAACTTGAAGAACTTATCTTCTAACTCAAGTTTTCGAATAACACAACTAATAATGCCATTAAATTCTTGTGTATTGGTCAACGTATTGTTAAATTTGTTAATTCTATCTTGCACGATTTCATGAAATAGTTCGGGCTCTTTGGATGATAATGACAAGAGTAATTCCACAGATTTGAACCAAATATGAGTACATTTAGATTTTTGTAATGTTTCTATACCCAAAAAATAAGAGTAAACTAATGTGACAATATGTGATGTTTTTTTGCATAAATTTTGAACAAAATCTAGCATACCAAATAATAACATCTTGGATTGTGCTGCTGGTTCCCTTTTATACATAATACCAATAAAGTCAATAAAGTCTTTTGGATCATTTGAAATTTCCGAAATATCTAATTTAACTTCTGTAATGTGTTGGATGCTCAAGTTACTATATTGCCAAATAAATTCAAAAAGGTAATCCTCTTTATGATATTGTAAAGTTTTATACATCACGTTATAATTTAGTGAATAGTTTAATAATAAAAGTTCACGCAATATTTGACACCAGCTATTAGGTTGATCAAATTTTGTAGATTCCCCTTTTTTTAATTTTTTATAAGTAGTATTGGTGTTCAAGATTTTATCCAAAGTAGTTTTGATATCAATTGAATTACTTGATTTTAATAATTTTAATGTAACTTGTAAATAAGTCAGTAAATATTGAATATTGGAGTTTTCATAGTAAATCTGAAGATTGTCGAAGTTTTGCTTAATTTCTTCATTATAGACTTTAGCAAAGTCGTCCAAACTGTTAAAAAATTCATCCCAAATTCCATCATCTAACGGAATAGTAAGACAGATCACCAAATGTAATATCGCCACGCAAGTTTGCAAATGTAATCTTAAATGCATGATAGTTGTTTCATCATAACAATTGAATGAAGAGAAATTACAGAGAGATTTAAGTCCTTCATTTAATTCATTTTCAGATAGCTTATAATTATCGATTAAATTCTTTAAGCGACATAGATCTTCAGGATTTCTTAATTTTTTCGCGTCAAATGTTGAATCTCCAACTTTGTTGTCATTTTCGAGACAATTGGAATAATTTAAAGCCATAATTTCTGACTAAAAATGTAAATAAAATACTGATATTAATACTTCTATTGTTATAATGCCGTTGATAATAATTTTAATAAAATATTACAAATATATTTATCAACTAATAATAATAATATAAATATATTTATTATATTTTATTAAAAACTAACGAAATTCATTTAACCAACATCATTGTATTATATGATATCGGTTAAATGTAGTAAAAGATTGTGTTTTGTAAGAGATTTCTCCTATTATATAAAACTTAATAAAAATTATTCTAGTTTTAGCAATATCATTGGTAGTTCACAAAATAGTAATGGTTAATTTCAAGGATTCTTGAAGATCAATAATACTTTCATTGCCATTCAATATTACACTGACCTAGTTGAAGGCATAAATCCATTCATTAGAATACAAGGTTTTTCATCACAGGTATCAAATTGTTAGGAAATATTTAAATTCTTACTGTATTTTCGCGAAATAACGGGCATTGGCGTTATTTCAAATAATGGCACGAATTAAGCTTAATTTAGGCCAAAATTCATGATTTCACCCTGCGCATTATTTTGCGAAAATAATGTAATTTTTTAGACATAAATGCATTTTTCCTGTTCCCAAAAGTTAAAGAAGAAACATAGGTAGATCTTAATTATATTCTCTTCATTAAAACTAGAAGATATAAATAATTGTGGCAAGTCATGCTGTGATTGGAATATGCTTAAATATTAACATAATTTAATGTGAAACATTAAAATGTTTTATGAGCTTGGTAAATACTTATAATGTTTTACCAAAAAAGCAAATTAAATTTTAATAAATATGAAGATCCCAAATTTTAATATAAACAAATAAATTTCAGCATAATCAAGTGTATGATAATAAACAAATTTAGCATAATCCAATGTCTGCATAAGCTGTCACAATAATTTCATAAAAATTTTTTTATAATAAGAAAATCTCTTTATAAGTATTTTTTTAATTGTACACAATACGTGAAACAGTTAAAAGATATAAAAATAACCAAAAAATCCTTTATCTTACATTAGAGAAGTTTATAATGGTGTCGCAATGCTAGTTGAAGTGAGTTCTTACGTTCAAATTTATAAAAGGAGCAATGTCCCAAAATGAATTAATTATATATGTAATAGATGGTCTGTACACAGTTTCACATAGTTAAATAAGTATTAATATGTATTGATCTAGAACTTTATTGTTTAGGTGCTTATGTACATACATATCAATCAGGATTCACCGGAGGCCGCTGGAAGCTATTATGCTTCCAATCCATCAGTGACCTTTCAGTTCCAGTAATTCCCACTGAAATGTTCTAATGAACAACACTTTCTATAGCAACTCTGATTAAATAGATGATTATACGAGTTCAGTGCTATCTATATCGAACAATAATTAAGTGATCTAATTCGACCTATTAAATTTATTGTGTTTTGGAAGGAATATCAAGAATTTGCGCTCACACGCAATTTTCTCCATGCTTCGCATGGGTAATTACAATACAATTCGTGACGTTTAACACTACTGCCGCAAGCCGCAATAAATCTTGGAAATAGCGAATTTGCAATTGATTCTATTTCCGATGGTGCGTTTTCTTTTGAACATATCATAAAGATTAGAGCAAAAATACGCGTTTACACAAAGAAGAATGGGAGAACAAAGATTACTTTCTTTGTGAATTTATTATAAATGTTATATTTACAGTAGACATAGCAATTTATAAAATTTAAATACTCTTATAAATCATTCAAGGTGTAATAATTGCTCCAGCAAACCATGTACTGACGTACTTCCGTTTTCTAGTGATATTTTATAGTATTATGTGCTAAAGAATTTTTGTAGTTTAATTATAAATGCATTTATGTTACGAATTTGAATTTACTATACTATATTTTACATTTATTGATGAGTCCAATAGACGAAAATCAACGAGCAACATACTGTATGTCATTCCTAGAAGAACGAAATTAAATCAGTGATCTATCAGAAAAGAGAACTATATATTGCATCTTAGAGTTTAATACAATGTTATGCTTAAACCAGGGTTAATAGCAAATCATTACATCAACACTCAAACACTAACTTCTAATGCTCCTAATGTAAATTTATTATTTATTATATTATATAGGTTATGACCTATATAATAAATTTATTATAACTGGGTCAGTTTCGACTCGTTCAGATTAACTTCCATTAAGAGCACTATCACTACTCATAACTTTTATTATTAGCGTTATGCAAATATGTAGCAAATTAGTGTTTGGATGTTCAACCAGAAATTCAGAAATAAATTTTAATCCGGACCTGGAAATACAGAAAATTGTGATGAGATTAAGAATCTCTTGGATTTAATGAAATGTCTTATCGCTTTCCATTTTTCAGCACTATATATGTGATTTGCCAGCTTACTACAAAGCATCATGAATTTTGGAATGAATACGTACTATTTTCTTTCTGTAACAGCAGAAATAATCATGCCCTGCTGGGGATTTGACCGAGACGGTGGTTGTTTCACATAACATGGCGGAAACTCTTCCGTATAAATAATCACTTTTTCACAGTTTGTTTTTCTCATTAAATTCATACAAATTCCGTGGAAGTAACAATAAAGCCTGACTAGTCAGAGAAATGATTAACGAGAAAAAAAAAACATTGATAAAATGTTATTGACACGTACGTACGTAAATCCTCCGTATCAGTTATGCGATCATAGTGAATAATACCATTTAAGTTTTATATTTGATCCACCTTATTGATGCAAACTAGTCGTATTAGTTATGATCTATTTTAAAACTGGTTTGACAACTTTTTTATACGCATTGAGGTAATTAAGTTACATATTTACTAAAGTTGCCAGTTCTTATTACGATAATCAAATAGCATACATAATCGGAGATGTGATATTTTCCTGCGCTGATAAAAAAAATGGGTACAGTTGTTTGTGGCATAACGTACGAACATATTTTAAAGTTCAATTTTTCTATAAGAATAAATAAATATATATATATATATCAATTTAAAAAATAACTATATAGTGAAACTGTCAAAAAAATTTGTCAGTCATGTAGTGTAACTTGGGTCATAGTGATATGGATTACTATTTTTGATTGCACCAAAGTATTATAATACAACCACCATGGGCCTAAGGTTAATATTATACTTGGCGTAGTCTGGAATTTCGATATTTTTATCACTATTTGTTTTCAAGATATCTAACAATTTTGTTTTTTGCTTGCGTTGAATTTCTGTCAGTCTAATTAAAGAATATCAAATTTTATATGAAACAAATAAAGAAAGAATTTAATTATTTCTAAATGAAAAAAAATCACAATACAATACATATATGTTATTATTTACATTAAAAATCTAATTGTTTGAGTATGCGTATACATCAGCCAAAGGTGCCACAAAAATGCTAAAACTAAATTTTTTTTTACATTTAATTTTCTTTGCAACTATAATGTATATACCAGCTTTGATGATATTTCTCAACTTACTAGCACTCAAAAACAATTAACTTTTTATAAAGAATTTGCTAAGATGAGGAATTCAAGAGAAATTATTTTTGCTTTGGTCATTGTTATGAATACGGGATTATTGAGCCATAATTTTCGTGATAACGATAATGGGAAATTTCAGAGATTCGAATAGTCTATAAATCATAAATTCAATCAGTAATATTTCTATCTATTTTGAAATCTGTAAAATTCTTTTAGAATCGAATAATCGACTAATTTCCTGTGAGTTTTCATGATATCATGATTCGCGGGAGTCACACATTTTTGCAAAGCGTAATAAAATGAACACAAGGTTTACATTTATTATCAAATATGGGCAATTTTAACGGAATATATGTCAGGGCATGAAGGCTAAATTAGCTAAATATGAAGTATTTAAATGTTAACTGAAATCAGCAATTCTAAAAGAATGTTCAAAATTGCTGTTTGTTACAGATTCTTGATTGATATTGTGTTGAAGGGGATAGTGACGAATATTACATTGTGAAATATTGATGAAACGATAGATTTTATGTGATAGTGAAATATTTGCAAATATGAATCTGAATAGCTTATGATAGTTATTTTATTGTTGCGTAATTTTGAATTAGGCCAAACTAAACCCGAATTACTATTTGATTTTACGCGTCACATATAACGCATCTATTAAATCTAATTAAATCTAATAAAATTAATTTAATTATTATGTCAAACCCATCTCCTACAAAATTTTAATTTAGAATCGATATGTTTACATGTTTATGATATCTTCCTTAAATGTTGTGACGAAAGAAAAAAAAAATCAAGATGTTGCGTAACGTTGCACGATGGGTAAAAGCCGAAACGATTCAAGTTACGCGGTAAGTTACCCAGGCCAAACAAAAGAGCGCCTTCGGTTCGTAGTTACGCGAAACGTTTCGTACCACTTTTAGCGAGTTTTATTTTCAACAATATCAATAAAATACTTATAGATAATTATGACCGAATAAAAGCAACTATGGATATACTGTTCCTTCCGCTTTTGTGCCATGCCTAGTAACAGTATAGAATTCGAACGCATCATTTGACGAACCTAAACTTACTTATTCTGATTCCACTCTCTATTTCAAGGAGGGAACGAAAACACCAGACAACTTTATCTGAAAAAAAAACCCCCATATCCCCCCTCGATCAACTTACCAAAAAGGCAACCTTCGTGACTGTCGTCCCGACAGGCCACTTATATATACACAAACAATGAGATAGTTTCTTGTGACCGTCGTCCGACAGGCCATTTCTATTTCAAAATTCCGATTATGCTGTCGTCCGACAGGACATAAGTTATCTACCAACTAAAACAGTCATCGCAAAATCACGCATGAGGACTGGGAAGGGGTGGGACGAAAAAACTAGACAAAATCGGTAAGCAGAAAAATTTTTCTGGGAAAAAACCCGTTCCCCTTAAATACTACTAACGATTACTAGTCTCAAATACTATGTCATTACGTCATAAAATTGCATACAAAT